CTGCTGAATTTAAAGCAAATAATTTTTCATTTTAAAGCTGCACAGCAACAAGTACCACGGTACTATCATCATTTTAAGACAAGTACCATAGTACTATCCTGATTTTTTTTTTTACCATGGTACCTTTATAAAGGCACCGAGGTTGTACCATGGTACAGCAATATAAGGCATCAGACTGCAATCTATAGTACAGAAATTCATGGTATTTACATTAAAAGGAAAAAAGCTCCCTGGTACTTTTCGCAGGTTTAACCACTGTACTCTTTTAAATATCTTGTATGCAGTGTTGGGGAAAGTTACTTTTAAAAGTAATGTATTACAATATTGCGTTACTTCCTAAAAAAGTAACTAATTACGTCACTTAGTTACTTTTTATTGAAAGTAATGTGTTATGTTACTTTTGCGTTACTTTTTAAATCTGGGCTGGGCTTGCTCGTTTGCTTTTAATATAAAAAGTTATATTTTTGGCAAATGTAAAAACCCATTTCACACCAAAGAAAGTTCAACACTCTTCAGCAATGAAAAAAGAAGAAATGTTAGTTTATCTTGTGTAATTTGTGCTTATTAGTACTGTTGAATTGGATCACCGAAGGTCAGCAGTAAATTGGTTAATAAAACGGGATTAAATACATAAAGGATATTTGTATTATTTAACATATTTAATTATTGCAGCTTTGAGTCATATTCTGAGTTGCTTTTAACTGTTTTTATTAATTTTGAGGAAAACTAAATCAGATTTTTTTTATTGTGAGTGAGTGAGATGAATTAATGCATGTTCACATTTATTGTAGAACTAGAGTAACATCTTCTGATTTCTCTCTACATGGGGACAGGAGAGCTTTCAGTCAATAAACTGGGGGAAAAAAGTAACTTGCGTTTCTTATTTGAAAAAGTAACTCAGATATTTTCTTGTAAATTAAAAAGTAATGCGTTACTTTACTAGTTACTTGACAAAAAAGTAATCTGATTACGTAACTTGTGTTACTTGTAATGCGTTATGTATGTAAATACCATGATGCATGAATACAGTAAGTACAGTTTGAATGAGTGCATGCAGAACTGCATGAATAAACAAATGAAGGGTTCACAGATGATGATGAGGTGTTTTACCTGGATGATGAAGCAGTGAAATCTCCATCCAGCAGTCTGATTTTACAGAACAAAACTCCGTTGACAAACGGCACAGCTGTCAGCTCCTCCAGAGTAACGTGAGTCTGAAACTTAAACTTCTTCTTCTTGACGAGAAACGCCATGAACCCGAGCTTGAAGTGGTTTAATTCTCTACTGAAGTCTGGTGTTTAAAATGAGCACTGTGAAGCGGGTTTAAACTCTCTCCGCGGGATCATGATTTCATTGATCATCTGCGGGAGAAAAAAACACAAATCACAACAAACGTGATCAACTCTGAGCTCGTGTTTCTGTCTCCGATGTTTGGATGTGATTCTTCTGTTCCTGTGTGTTTAGATTCACTAAAGAAGCTCCGCCCCCCTCTCTCTCTCTCTCGCTCTGTGAGCCCAGGTCTGGCAGTATTGCTCTAGCAGGTCCAGGTTCTGCTGTAAAGCGTGTTGAGTGGGAGACAGCAGAAGCAGATCGTCTGCATACAGCAGGCATCTGATCTGTGAGTTGTGTAGGGTGAGGCGAGTATTTGATTTCAATTCAACCTCAAAAAAACACATAAAAGACATGCTACGAGAACCCTGGACTTGCGTTATAGTTCACAGTGCATCAAAAATTGAGAATCTATTGTTTTTTTTCTATATATTTAAAACACTTTTAGACCGTTTTTTTCTCAAAATAATAGAATGGATGTTATCTTTTGAACACCCTCCATGAAAATGATTAAAGATTTTGCATTTTGCATCATTTGTGCATCACTATTTCAAAGTAAAGGTCAGAACGCACTCTCTGACTCTGATGAGTACTCTTCTTGCATATTAATAAATTACAGATGCTCTGTAAAATATTTTAAAAATCAGTCACCAAATATCAAAACTAGAGTCTTTAAACTGCAAAAGTTTGTCTGAAACACAAATCACTCGATATTAACTTTTTGTGTGTATGACGTTTATATAACACAGACAAACCCATTTTCAGTACAGCACTCTTGCTCAATTAAAATACTAAAACAATGACACAAAACCTCTAAGCATTACTGAATAATAATCACAATATCGTAATCATTTATGTAATATGCACACTTATACTCTTGAAAAGTTAGTTTGTTAGCAGTGATGGGTCCATGATGATCATTTAACATAAAGAGCATATGTATGTAGCAAGAAATGGAGGAAAAAGCACATTTTTCCATATTTCCATATTCCATATTTTCAGATATGGCACTTTGTTTCCATCTAGTGGCCGTAAAGTAAACTACATCCAACCTGCAAATCTGTGAAAAATAGGGAAATTATATTACATTGTTAAATTATGGTAGGGATTCTGTATCAAAACGTGAAAGTAACAACATATAATTAAAGTAAAACATAACTGTTAACTCTTTAAACAGGGTTCGTACAAATATTTAAGAGTGAAATTCAACTTTTCCAGCACTTTCAAGCAGCGGCAGTCTGTGCTTTTCAAAGGGTGGGAAAGCTGTTTATAATAAACTATGTTTATAAATTGAATTAATAAAATTATTCATTATTGTTGCAAAGTAATCAGATGTACATTACATATACTTATATACTATATAAAGATTGTGCTACATAAAGATTTAAGTCATGGTGTCTAGTGATATAAATGAAAGGCCTAAATGAAATAGTAAATGTATGTTTTTCCAACTAGAAATGAGGAAAATGTACAGTTAAACAGTTTCTTTAGTACTTGAGGAAAATACAAATACCCCCCCAAATACTGTACATGTAAATAAATATATCTACGGTAAAGATCTCATGCTTGAGCATCAATAAATCACAAAACAAAAAGACGTACGTGTGTGGAGAGTTTCTTTATTCAGCATACTTAAATAAAAATGGCAAATTCTCAAAAGCTAAAGAAACAAAAGCCTCCACAAAGTCTTCTGTCACTGGAACCACTGAAGAAAATGTGTTTTCTGTAGGTCTCTGACCCAGATTTGGGTTTTGAGGTTTTGCATGTTTGTTTTAGCGTCAATTGCACACCAAAACAATCAAATTAAACGTGTTGCAACTTGACTTTTAAGCAACCAAATGCAAATGTAAATGAAAAGACTTTACAGTAACTTCAAATTGTCAAAAGCTATTTATATTTGGCCACTTCTTTAAAACGCTCATAAAAGTCTCCCTGACACATTCACACATATAAGCACAAACTCTTTGAGGCACCGTGCTGTACAATAATTTAGTCTATTCTAGACCAGACGGTCACACACACACACACACTCAGAAACCCAAGCGTGCTCATATTTGTCTCTATTGTGCGTCTTCTGTCTGCGGCGGGACGTTTTCCGCTCCTTCTCCAGTCTCTGTGGCAGCTGCTGCTGCGTTTGCGCTGTTGGCGTTCTGTAGAAACTTCCTCAAGTCCTTCAGAGCGGGTCTGAACATCTGGATGAGGGCGAGCAGGGCAGCCTGCGTTCCCTCCAGAGCCTGGGCTTGTCTCTCCTGAGCGCAGGCCTGGGCCTCCTGTGAGCGGCGGATCATCTGCAGCAGGTCGTTCTGGTTCTCCAGGTGCTGGGCGATCTCGCGCACGTGCAGGTTGGTGACGCGGTGCTCCTGCAGCAGTTTGGCGGAGTTGAGCGCGATGCGGCTCTTCAGTTCCTGCGGTTTGCACTCGGCCTGCGCCGCCAGCATCTCCACTGGAGCCTCTGCAGTGACGGTCACCGGCGTCTCGGTGGTGCAGTACTCCACCATGCCTTCCTCCAGCGTGTGGTACGTCGTCTCGGCTGCGGAGGCGCAATCATACACAAGCTGCGCTTTTACAAATAGCAAATAGTCTTAGATGAAGATCATAAGTCAAGCTAAAATCGTACCTTCAAGAGTTTTTATCTCACATGCTGCTGCGGCCGCTGACTGAATGCCTGTGAAGAGAGAAGTTTTACCATTTTAAAACTCAATTATAAAACATAAATGACCATTTTCCTTTCAGGATTGCATCACTTTGAACATTAAGGCAAGACACATGCTGGCAAAACCATTGTTTTTTTCATGCATTGGTCAGTGTTGAGCTATATTGCTTTTATATCATATCTTCTTTCAGACTAGAGGAAAGAAAACATCTAAAATTGACATTTAAGTGCTTATTTTAGTACACTATCTATTTGTGTCTGTATATTTCAATCACAATACATAAAGGGGTCATATGATGCGATTTCAATTTTTCCTTTCTCTTTGGAGTGTTACAAGCTCTTGGTGCATAAAGAAGATCTGTAAAGTTGCAAAAACTAAAGTCTCAAGTGGGGCAGTTCCAACTTTGCAAGGACAGTCTGGTGCATCTGACTCACAGACTGTAAGTACATTTACATATTTAAATAATTTGCCACTGATGATTCAAACGCGAGTTTTGAGCAGTGTAGAGTAGTGCTTGTTGTTTGTCATTTCTCCGATCACAAATGCAGACATGGTTTTATGTTTATGCAGCGCGATACGCAACACCTAAAAAGACAGTATAAGTTATTATAATCAGTAATTATGTGCCCACTGGATGCTACAAATGCCTGTTTTGTTGGTTTTGTCTTGTCATGCTGGGACTCTGCGTCACAGTATGGTGAGGGGCGTAACATTTCCGTCACACGCTTGAGGTATTCGGCCAATCACAACGCACTGGATAGCTGGCCAATCACAGCACACCTCGCTTTTCAGACCGATGAGCTTTGTAACAATCGACGCGTTTCAGAAAGGCGGGGCATAGAGGAGAAACAATAATGTACAGTATGTGGAAAATAATGTGTTTTTTGAACCTTAAACCGCATAAACACATTTCATTACACCAAATACACAAAATAATGTTCTTTTTAGCAGCGTCATATGACCCCTTTAAAGGCCATTTTCTTAAAATGAGACATTTTTATCTCGAAATTTGGACTTTTTTTCTCATAATTTGGAGTTTTCCTCACAATTCTGACTTTTTTTTCCCGCAAATGCGTGTTCGTATCTCACAATTCTGACTTTTTTCTCGCACTTCTGACTTTATTTCTCGCAATTGCGAGTTTATATCACGCAATTCCGAGAAAAGAAGTCAGAATTTTTAAAAAAGTCGCAATTACCTTTTTAATTTTTTATTCAGTGACGTTAACAGGCTTCTATAGTCTTCTGTGTGTGTGTGTGTGTGTTTATGTTTTCAGAATAACAAGGAATTACTTCTTGCCATATGGCAACTCCGTACCATAGAGGGTTAAGTGTAACAGCAGTGCGACTCTACGCATGTGAAGTTACGCAGCAGTAACGCTACTGTCTTACTTTGCGTTAACGCGACGCTGGCTGCGGAGCTGATGGGCACCGCGATCTCCGCCTCCGCCGCAGGGAGGCTGATGATGGTCGCTTCTCCGAGCAGATTGCAGATGCGCTGCTGCATGGAGCTCAGGATGACGGGCACGCTGCTGCAGTCACCCGTGCCCTCCATGGCCGCCCGCGCCTGCGCCACTTTGCGCCGCACCTCCGTCTTGAGATCGGACCATTTCTTCTTGACCTCCGCGAGCTCGCGCTGGCAGGTGCTCACGGCATTCACGCGCTTCAGGATCTCCGTCCACGCGCTGTTCTTGGCGATGTGCGTGACGCCCGCGTTAAAATGATTCACTAAAATGTGCTTTTGCTTCTCCATCTCCTCCACGATGATCTCCACCTCCCTTTCGGAGAAATTCGTTTTTCTCTTTTTGGCCTGAGATGCCATAACGTATTCAATTGGGCTGGGGGGGGGGGTAAAAATATTGCGTAGAATACGTAAAAATAGTACGTTTTTGTCCCGACACAATTGCGCAGCGTAATGGCTTCTTGAATCGACTTCTCTTCCAACAACAACGTTTGCGGCCGCAAATGGCTGAAGTCCCGCCCATTTGTCGCCTCTTACGGTTCCCATTGGCTTAGATTTGCCATAAACGGTGACGATCTTTCTTTTTATTGGTGGAAACTGATCAATCACACCATACGTTTTTGCGCTAGACTTGTTGTCAACCAGAGGAGGGAGCTATTTAATTACAGTTCTCTGTCTCTCTCTCTCTTTCAAAATTGCTTTATTGGCATGACTGTAAATGATACAATATTGCCAAAGCTTAGTACACATGTACAAAAAGATTTAAAAATAATAATAATAATATAATAACAATAATAATAAGTAAATGAACATCACAGCAATATAATGGAATATTATAACATCTTAGAAGTATTAAACTATAACAAATTATAACATGTGAACATTTGATGTCACAGTCTTTAACTTACATAGAAACACATACATACTTCGGATCACTGTGGTGGACAGTAGGGTAACACACTGAGGTCAGACACACACACATTCACCCGCTGTCTCTCTCTCTCACTCACACACACACACACACACACATACACACATTCACCCGCTGTCTCTCTCTCTCACACACACACACTCACACACACACACATTCACCCGCTGTCTCTCTCTCTCACTCACACACACACACACACACACACCCGCTCTCTCTCTCTCTCTCTCTCTCTCTCTCTCTCTCTCTCTCTCTCTCACACACACTCACATGCACACTTTGTAGTTTTAGAATCATTTTGCAGAATTCTGTGTGTAGGGCTTCTGTTGGATGTCTGTCCCATCTAGTGTAGCTCTGATCACTGAGTGGACCCCAAATCTCACTTCCATACAACGCTATGGGCTGAATCACACTATCAAAGATTTTACACCAAATTTTTTTCTTGATTGCGTATAGAGCTCTTCGAGCTTTATCTTTGAGAGCATTCACTGCCAAACTGATCAGGCCGAGGTAAGTGTACTGCATCGTGTGTTCTAGGGCGGTGCTGCCTAGACTGAACTGGCATCTGTGTTCCTGACATCTGGGCTTTTTCTGAAAGACCATAATGCTGGTCTATTTGAGGTTTACTGCCAGGGCCCAGTTCTGGCAGTAGTTGTCCAGCAGGTCCAGGTGCTGCTGTAGTCCCTGTGAGGTTGGTGACAGCAGATCATCTGCGTACAGCAAAAGCTTGATGTTTTTGTCTTGTAGATCTTGTACATTTCTTACCGTAAATATATATAAACTTAATTTTTGATTAGTAATATGCATTGCTAAGAACTTAATTTGGACAACTTTAAAGGCGATTTTCTCAGTATTTAGATTTTTTTGCACCCTCAGATTCCAGATTTTCAAATAGTTGTATCCAAATATTGTCCTATCCTAACAAACCATACATCAATGGAAAGCTTATTTATTCAGCTTTCAGATGATGTAGAAATATCAATTAAAAAAAAAAATTACCCTTATGACTGGTTTTGTGGTCCAGGGTCACAAATGTTGAACGCAACAAAACCATCTAAAATAGTCATAAGAACACTGACGGGATGTTTCCAGCATGGTCAAGTTTGTGCAAATATGTGCACACAACTATGTGACCCGCGGCGTTTCTAAGCAGTTATTGTTGAAGTGTGCAAACTTATAAACTTGAAATGAACCGGTCAAAACCAGAGCTTTGAAGTTCATGTAAATAATAGATCTCATAAATCGGGTTTGTCTTTGAAATTGTCTTCATAGAAATAATAGCAGTGGACTGAAATAGACCGTTCTGAGAATTCAGATTGATCTTATAGCTTAATAAAACTGAATTCATAGAATAAAGTCACCTATGCGAATGAAATGAGAGCAAACACACAACCAGAGGCCTTTACATGCTCACACTAACATGTGAAGCATCACTAGCTGTGATATTTGTAGTTCAGATAACAGATATGTTATATATATATGTATATGTACATATATATATTATGTGTATATATGTTATATGTTGCTCTGCTATTAAAGATGTGGTGACAGCATCTGGTACATTGTAAAGATGCTTTCTAACGTGTCGAATAGCTTGAATTTAGTTACATTGTAAATCTTTCTATATTGTTTAGCATCAAAACAAGACTAGCAACTGTTTGGAACCCAATGCTTTTAAGTTATATAATATCCTAAAGAAGTATTGCCCTCGCACTTGACTGGAATGCGGAGATTTTCAAGAATTTGGCTCTCATTTGCAGACATTTGTGGGTCAGACAAGCAAATCAAGAATGGAGCAAATCTGTTATAATTTCTTTCACCCTATAAAAGCCTACTGTATCATATTTGATAGGCCTCTAAATGATCTAAACGATCAAAAACATGTTGCACACAATCTACCGCACTCACAGTTTAGACTTTTTTTAGCAAGTAAAATGTGTAATTGTACAAACGTCCACCTTCAGCTCGAGCTTCACATGTCTTTGCTGTCAAATCTTTACAGATTTTTATCACATAAACATAAGAATAACTAGTAATATTTCCAGATGAACACTTACTGGACTGAAGCAGCTTGGCTTTACTTGATTATCCAGACTTCATTATTTTAGTCTTAAATCTGATCGTCAGGCTTTTGAGAAACGTTTATTTGTTCATCTCTCAATCATTATTGTATTGCATTGCATAATATGTTTTGAAATTAAAATAAGCATTAAATATGATCGTATTAGGACATATTATTGGAGATACAGAGTGACAACTGATATTTATATGCATTTTATGTAAGTATCTGCTGTACTGTTATAAAGATCTCATTGATTTACATTACAAGCATCAGAATTGCATCACATTCTGTCCATATAAATATCAGCATCTGCAGCAAATTGCATATTTTTGTTCACTTTGGGCTTCTGACAAAAACTGAGCTGTTTTTCCTCCTTATATCAGACAATATGAGCCATAAAAGCCTGATGAATCAAATATGATATTCAACAAAATACTATATTTTGTGTAAAGGTTCAATAAACTGTTCCATTATTTATTTATTTGTTGTACTATTTCCTATATCAAGCTTTACAGGATTAATACAGCAGTGGAAATGCAAAAAAAAAAAAGTTACTTGTATTAGTTGCTTGTAGAATATATTGAAAGATCACATCAGTGTCGGTTATATTGATGAAAGAACGGGATGTCTTGTCAAAAAGCAGCACATGTTGTTCATGAACATTGTCTTATGTGGTCGGCACTTTAAGTGTTTTAGTGCTCTGGTACCTTGAGATCCAGTGTTGGCCAATACAAGAGTACATGCTAAGCACGGAGACCGCCCTTCACTGTGTGATTGTGATGCTGTCCATCAAGGGCTCTTGCCTCATCTTTTCATTTCACTAGCTTTGTGTTTCGTTTTTATGGTCATGACACGCTGAAACACTTCCAGACTCTTCAAGCAAAACAAGTGAATGGGAAAGTTCAAAGCACACGGCCAGTGAGAGAGTCCAAGGATTTCATACAGCCTTTATGCCTATTATTGTACAATCTGAATATGAATTTATGTTCTTGATGGCAATTAAAATAATTTATTTTATTCAGCAAGGATGCATTCAAATGATCCAAAGTGACAGTAAAGACATTTATAATGTTACAAAAGATTTTTATTTCAAATAAACACTGTTCTTTTAAACTTTCTATTCATCAAAGAATCCTAAAAACTAAAATGTATCACAATTTCCACAGAAATATCGGGCAGCACAACTGTTTTCAACATTGATAATAATCAGAAATGTTTCTTGAGCAGCAAATCAGAATATTAGAATGATTTCTGAAGATCATGTGACACTGAAGACTGGAGTAATGATGCTGAAAATACAGCTTTGATCACAGAAATAAATTACAGTTTAACAGATATTCACATAGAAAACAGCTATTCTAAATTGTAATAAAATTCCACTGTTTTACTGTATTTTTGATCAAATAAATGCAGCCTTGGTGAGCAGAAAACATTACAAAATCATACCAACCCCAACATTTTGACTCATAGTGTATAGTTTTCATTGCGTTGCATGTTAAATTTTAAAACGGGAACAAATTACCAAAATGAGGGAATGAATAAATGCAACATCAACATGATTTACTCAAACGAGGGAACAAATGAGTGATGTAAATTCAGCTTTGATCGAATAAACTACATTTTACAATATATTATAAACAGATATTTTATATTTCACAATATTACGTTATTTTTGTTCAAATAAAAGCAGCCTTGGTGTACAGTATATAATTGTGAAAATTTCAAACAAGTTTGAAAAGATCCTCAATTCTGTTCAGTAAACAGATGTGTGATATCAGTAGCTCAACAACAGCCTGTGTCCAGTATTTCTTAAACTGCACTATTCTCCTGTTTTGTTGTTGATAAGAGCGTTAGAGAATCTCAGCAGAATCTTTATTGACAGGTTCTTGATCCAGTGTCCTCTTTCTGAGAGACAAACAGTGATCGTGGAGCTGCTAACGTCACGTAAAATGTGAGATAGCACATCTTGTTTTTTTACCCGTCGATCTGACCTCCAGGTAAAGTTTATCGGACACGTTTCACTGGATCAGCCATCAGACGTAATCCAGATCCAAACAAACACAGGACGCTAGTCTGATGAACGCTGACATGGAACATGACCTTGTGTCTGTCCTGTGGTTAATATACACCTTTAATAGCTTCTGCACCATAGAGCATGCAGTCTTTGAGTTTGAATGTATGGAGTCTTTATGAATGGGCTGTTTATCTTCATGTAATTTGTACATGACATAAACCGATAAACAGTTAGGACCTGGACCTTATCGCTATTCTGTAAATGCACTGCAGTCCATTGATCAGAAAGCTGATTTCTCAGTATCTCAACTTTGTTTCATAACTGGTTTTCAGAGCTGTATTATGACCCCAGATGTGCAAAGTACTTTAGTATAATTATACTTCATTATTATACTTTTAGGGTAATTTAGAGAAACAGAATAATTGTGCATTTACTTAATCAGAGGGAAAATTACATTTAGACCTTAAAAGCACAGAATAGTTTAAATAAAATCAACTTTAATGGAAAAAATTAAATAAATAAAAAATGTCACTGCCCCCTTAAAGCTAGTTAACAACTAAAGGCCATGAAAAGGAAACATTTTTGTTTCATGAAATAAAATAAATGTTAACTGAAATAAAATAAAATATATAAAATTTGATGTACTAAAATAACTAAAACTATATAAAAATGTATAAAACTATATATACATATTTAAAACATAATAATAATAATGACAAAAACATACAACCAAATTACTAAAACTTTACATCAATTTAAAACAGAAAATATAAAAATGTAAACTAATTAAAAATATATATCAAAAATATAATAACATCTCAATGATAATAAAATAAAATAATAATGTGGAATAATAAATGTAGACACTTTTTACTTTTACTTTAGTACAATTTAGACAGTGTCCATATTTAGGTATAATTTTTTGCATGAATTAAATTCTTGAATAAATCAAATATCACAGGTTGGTGTCATTTCACACAGAGCCAGATGTCTTTCTCTGCACCGGATGAAATCAGAGCTCGGTACTGGCTCCCAAAGCCTGCGTCTATCCCCTTCCATGTGTTTAGTGATCCTAATGTGTGACTCGGCTAAAATTAGTTTTTAGAGAGCACTGGAGTCAAATTCAATCATGTACAATTTAGACAGTGTCCATATTTAAGTATAATTTTTTGCATGAATTAAATTCTTGAATAAATCAAATATCACAGGTTTGTGTCATTTCACACAGAGCCAGATGTCTTTCTCTGCACCGGATGAAATCAGAGCTCGGTACTGGCTCCCAAAGCCTGCGTCTATCCCCTTCCATGTGTTTAGTGATCCTAATGTGTGACTCGGCTAAAATTAGTTTTTAGAGAGCACTGGAGTCAAATTCAATCATAAGGCCATGTTGCATACAGTACATAAGTGCACTGCTTTACTCCAGCTACACTGGATTGTGTTACAAAGCTGCTGATGCATGGTAAGAAATTACCTATTTTGGCTTTGAAGTAAAGGGACTGTAATACTCATACTTAAAAACATTTTTAAAAATCTATGTTTTTAATGCAAGTTCACTGATTACTTTATCATATGACACTGTACTCCTCTGGCAGTGCAATTATAGATATACATAATTTGTATTGCCGAATATAACATAAAAGTTCATGCAAAAATTACATTTGCTGAAAATGTGCTCGCCCTCAGGCCATCCAAGATTAGGATGAGTTTGTTTCTTCATCAGGTTTGGAGAAATGTAGCATTGCATCAGTGTCTCAGCAACGGATGCTCTGCAGTGAATGGGTGCCGTCAGAATGAGAGTCCAAACAGCTGATAAAAACATCACAGTAATCCACAAGTAATCCACACCACTCCAGTCCATCAGTTAATGTCTTGAGAAGACAGAAGCTGTGTGTTTGTAAGAAACAAATCCATCATTAAGAGATTTTAACTTCAAACCATTGCTTCCGGCTAAAATACAAGTCCATAATCCATAATAACACAGTGAAAAAGTTGTCTCATTTGAATCAGGAGAGAAATCTGCACAGATCAAGCACCGTTTACAAGCCAAAAACCATTCGAGACAAATATATGGCTGGATTTTGATGTGAGAGACAACAGGAGATGGACTTTTTCGCTGGAGGAGGCGTTATTATTATTAAAATCGACTTAATGATGGATTCGTTTCTTACAAACACGCAGCTTCTGTCTTCTCAAGACATTAACTGATGGTCTGGAGTGGTGTGGATTACTTGTGGATTATTGTGATGTTTTTATCAGCTGTTTGGACTCTCATTCTGACGGCACCCATTCACTGCAGAGCAGGTGACGCAATGCTACATTTCTCCAAATCTGTTTCGACAAAGAAACAAATTCATCTATACATCTGATATAGCCTGAGAGTGAGTACATTTTCATCAGACACTCATGTTAGGTGAACTATTCCTTTCATAATTCTGGCATTTGAAGAGGTCTAAACACCAGTCCTGTCCATATACCGGGCTTTTCCCTCGCAGTGTGCAAATCATGGCCTGTATTCAGGTTACAGATGGTGAATAGGTTGGTGTCCCCCTCTGCACAGATACCTTATAAATCTCTGGAGTTAGTCTTGGCACGGACGCTTATCCTCCACCAGACTCTGACGTAATATTGCAACCGGAGCAGACGGCTTTGCTGCAGGATTATGCCTTACAAAGTACAGCGTCGCCGTTTATATTTGGGCCTATTAACATTAATTGCTGCTACTACCCTGCACTGACCTGCTGGTATTTTTAAATCCAATTTAATAATGTTTAGGCTTCAGTATTATGTCAAATATTTGACCTTTTTAAAGACAATTTGATAAATCACAGAAAAGTTTTCCCAATGCATTTGGGTTAATCTCATAATAACCATAATCATATAAATATAAATGCACATATAAAAGCTAAATTCTCATGAAATTTTCGTATTTATTTATTTTTTTTTCATTTTATATTGTCATTACCGCATAGACTTTATAGCTGATAAGAAATTATAGCTGAACTCAAATACACAGATAGGTCAGAAACAGTTGCAAAAAATAAGTTTCATGTCATGAGTTTTTCAGCAATTAAAAACTCATGATGTGTTATTTGAGTATCATTGATATACTATTATATTTATATTAATATTTTTAATTAGTTTTGATATTTTCCATGTTCATTTTTAGCTAAATCTTTAGTATTTAGTATTTTTTTTTAAACATGTCTATATAGTTTTTATTTATATTTATTTCAGATTAATTCTATTATTTTAATACAAAGAGTTAAACTAAATGAAGATGAACAATTTAATTTGAGTTAACATTTATTTTATTTCAAGTAACAAAAAAAGTGTTTTATGACCTTTAGTTGGTTTTAGTTTTGGTCAACCATAATAATCCTGCCTTGAGGCATGTTAATAACTAACTTTAGTTCGGCCAATAACGTTTTATTATTATTATTATTAAGTGAAAAAAAGAGGAGGGTCTCATTTACATACGAGCATTGCTTTCACCCGTGATTGGACGTTCAGACTCTGACGTTCAAACCGCGCTGACCAATCAGAGTCCGCCGCCCTTTACTCAGTGGGCGTGTCTAAGTACTTTTCTCGACTTGATCAGGCGCTTTACCGGCATTTCAGCGTTTAACCGCCGGCAGGCGAGAGTGTTCTTGTGTTATTTATTTATTTATTGCCGAAGACTTTTATTATTTTCAAGATGCTGTGCCTGTGCCTTTATGTGCCCGTCCATAATTCAGATCAAATCGAGGTCGAGTATTTTGAATCGAACGGATTACCGTGCGAGCTGAAGTCGCTCAAGTCGCTCAGCGTCCTTCTGCCGTCGCAGGAATTCTCCACATACCGAAAATGGAGGAAGGTAAGAAAATCTACCTATCTATATATTTTTTTTTTCACTGTAATGTAATTTAAAAAGTAGTTAAAATAAGTAGTTAAACTGATTAAACTAAACTTATGTAATTCTTTCAGTTTTTAAAAGAAACGGCACATTTTTGACGCATGACGCTTCCGGTGCACGTTCTGAGTTCAAATTGACCATATATGGAGTTTCCCAGCACGAAACATAAGAACGCGCGTTTTTATTACTATCGACTAATTAAAGCGCATCAGTAATGCGTTCTATTGTCTAACCACATCAATACCATGGTACCCTAACTTCTACATTATACTTGTGTGTCGTTGTACTTGAACTGAAGGCTGTATGGCGCCCCTAGCGGTGCAGTTTCACTGGCCTGTAAGTTTATCATCTGGATGTGTACAAATATGATTATTATCTCATGAACCTATGTTCTTGAGAATGCATTCAGTAATTACAATGAAAGAGGAGTGAATGTCTGTCTCAGTGGTTAAAATTATTAAAATGATCTGTTCTAGTTTGCCAGGTGTTGACACTCACACATTAACTTCTACTGACCGTGCAATAATTTCCAGATGGAATGCATTGGATTTTCTTGCATTAAATTGTCATCTTTTCAATTTCCTCCCCACAGAAAACCATGAAAACTGAAGAGAGAGAGCATGATGGACAGCTGGACTTTGAAGAGTTTGTTCACTACCTCCAAGACCACGAGAAAGACCTGAAGCTCGTCTTTAAAAGCCTGGACAGAAAGATTGCTGGTATTATACCTTAATGCAATACTTATAATACTTATAAACCCGCAACTTGGTGAATTAAAATAGCTGACATTTGATTATTTGTTCAATTTCAGGTCAAGTGAACGCCAATGACATTGTGAACTCACTGCGAGATCTTGGCGTCCATATTTCCCTCCAGCAAGCGGAGAGAGTCCTTCAAAGGTGAAATATTGTTTTAATAAAAAACGGACAATAATGCAATTATGTTTTCTGGTAGGGCTTTGACTAATAATAATCACGGTGGAGTCTTAAAACTGCTCTTACTTTTCACTATTTTCTATTTTAGAAATGTCAAAAGCTTTTTCAATTAATTGTTTATTGCTTTATAATAAAAAGTGTAATTTTTATTAAATTTAAATCATTTTATTATTGCATTATTAGCTTTAATTCGACCCATAATTTCACTGGAATTTATTACATTACAGCGAAACCAAACCCTTTGTTTATGACTATATAAATGCAGTGACCTCTTGATCATTTTATCTCTGAATGGACTGAGTCACTGCTTTGTTGGACGTTTTTATCATCTCTTAAAATTACTGTAAAGCACAGAATTAATTTACAGGCTCTAAACGATCTTCTTTCTGTCCCATTTCCCATTTTCCTCACGCAGCATGGACAAAAACGGCACGATGACTGTTGACTGGAATGAATGGAAGAAGTCTCCCACATTACAGCCTGCCGAAAACGTTCCCGAAATCATCCTGTACTGGAAACACTCGACTGTAAGCGTTTTCTCCCACACAAATCCTGCACTAAAAAAAAACACTAATCCAAATCCTTCAAAACAACCGACAAAGCTTGTTTAGTAGAAGCTGCTTCATTCATGTCGACTGCAAAGCGACATTAATATGGGGATCTGGTTAACATGTTTGCTTGATTCAGATTCCTTGAAATGTGCATAAATTAGGCTGGTTTGGTGTTTTAGGATGGTTCAGAGCGTTGGTCTGGTATATGGTTGATGACAGTCTTAACATGACTGCCTAAAATATCTCCAGTCCCACTGGAACACCGTGATCTAGGACGGGGTCCAATTAAATAGGTATAACCTTGCAGCTACTAAATCTTAACCTTCTATTAATATGGCCGCCAGAGTTTGTGCATAAATCCATCCATTAAATGCAAATCAAATGTCAGAGCACTCAAATAAACCAAGACTAACTGTCCTACCAGTGCGACACCTTCTTATGCAACAGTTCAGGACCCTTGCAATTAGATGATTTTGAGACTCTGTGTAGTTCAATATCAACGACCTACTTCAGATTCTTACTGAACTCCGGTTTAAACCGGACTGCAGCCTTTGTTCTCACGAGGCAGAGTTCAGCGCGCAGTGAGATGTCTGATGCAATGTGCACGAGCTTGCAATCAGTTTTGTATGAGTTTGTAAAGTCCGCAATGGATTTTTTGGATCAAATGGTGCCCTAAAAACACGCAGATTAGTTTTAGGTTTTGGCAGCGTCACTGGTCCGGTCAGACTGACGCACACGCTGATGCTGCCAAGGTCGTTGCACTTTAGTTCTCTTGCAGTTGACGGTTGCACTTATGCGAAATACTACACTGTGAGGAAAAAAAATCTGGTGTAGAAATGATTTAGACTCAGAAATTGCTAGTAAATTTCACAAATGATTACAATGACATGGCAAATAACACATTGAATTAAATGTCAAATTAGACTGAAATAATTCAATTCAAGTTTATTTGTATAGCGCTTTTCACGATACAAATCGTTGCAAAGCAACTTTAGTAGTAGGCTATTTTCTTATAAAACACACCAATCTTTTTTCGAAATTATATACTTTCATAAAGTTTTTATTTGATTTACTTTGAAAAATATTTTTTTACTGTGTAGGATTTGAAATTTAAAATAAAAAAAATACAAATAATTACAAAGAAACAGCAAATATCACATTGAATTAAATGTGAAACTTGTAAGTAGAAAAACGGTAGTATTTTTATTTTATCTTTTGCAAAACATACTCAAATAATATTATTTACAACTTTGAAAAATAATTTTCTTTTTTTAAAAAATGTTTTTAAATTTAATTTTCACTAGTAAATTTAACAAATGACAATAAACAAGTTCATTGTTTTTTATTTGCAACTTTAAAAAATAATTTTTTACATTGTAGGATTTGCTTTGAAACCATTTTCACTTCGAAATTGATAGCCAATTTCACAAATAATGAATGGCAAGTAACACATTGAATTAAACGTGAAATTAGACTGAAAGTCTGAAATGGTATTTCATGTAAATAAAGAGATTATTGGAGTATGTTTTACGACTTTGAAAATCCTTTTTTAGAGTGTAGTTGTTGTTTACTGAAAACAGTGTATATTGGTTAACTGGGTTTATCGTCAGTTGTCTTTAACCATGTCGGTGATCTGTTTGTTTGCAGATCTTCGATGTGGGAGAGAACATGATGGTCCCAGATGAGTTTACCTCAGAGGAGCACATGACGGGGATGTTGTGGAGACATCTGGTCGCCGGTGGAGGAGCTGGAGCCATTTCCCGAACCTGCACTGCTCCGCTCGACCGACTCAAAGTCCTCATGCAGGTATGGTGACGCACACACCTTAGAATCACCTGCAAAACGCCAAAATCACGGCCCATAGTTGCCGTAGGGTGAATAGAACTAGATTAGTGTTACCTTGTGTGTTTGTGTTCTATAATAAAATGATAAAGCCATTTTTTTTTCATGAGTTACTCGCTCAGTGGTGTTGGTTTTTACTAAATCCCAACCTCAGCTTTCTCTATACACTGAAGGAGGTTTTATTTACACAAGCATTTCCCTTTAATCGAAGTGCAAACTGGTTTCATAACCATATGGCCATTCTGAACAATTAGTTGTGTTACTCAAGAGTCATAAGAGTAGTTTATCAGAATCATAAATGTATGTTCCAGTGAATGGATCTGGACTCTGAATAGTTACACAGTCCTGTCAGGCGACCAATCAGAATCCGAGGAGTCAAGCACACCCTCTGTGCTGCGCTCTGATTGGTCAGATACAAGATAGCATTTGATGTTGTCACGGCCGAGCGATAGTGAAGATCTGTGTCATATATTACGTCAGATGTTACTCAATCGGACTTTGATAGTTCAGTGATTCGGGCCAAAACCTTTTACCTACATATTCTGAAATATTTAACTTTGCTCTAGTTTTAATCGAACGCATCAATCTGTTCATTAAAACCATAAATGTATGATATCATCTGTTAATATTGACACACTATTCTGATAAACTAGATGGTTATTGTATATATTGTTGGCTCTTCTGTTTTAGGTGCATGGATCTCATGGAAACAACATGTGTATTATGAGCGGTCTCACCCAGATGATCAAGGAAGGAGGGATGCGTTCGTTATGGAGGGGCAACGGCATCAACGTCATCAAAATCGCACCCGAGTCGGCCCTCAAATTCATGGCTTATGAGCAGGTAATAGACCAGAGCTGATGCGATTTTCTGATCTGAGAAGCATAATGAAGAAATAATGAAGAAATATAAATTAAAGCTTGATAGTTAATGTTTGAAAACAAAGAAACAGGTGTATTATAATCAACTAAAACCATAAAAAAGATTCATTACTTGAAATGAAATAAACAACTGAAATTTTTATTTTTTTTTTTACTTATTTTTATAGATGCTTATTGGCTAGCTGCCAAAGCATCATTTCTTTGCTGCTTTTTCTACGCAATACCAAAATTAAAGCTTGATAGTTAATGTTTGAAAACAAAGAAACAGGTGTATTATAATCAACTAAAACCATAAAAAAGATTCATTACTTGAAATGAAATAAACAACTGAAATTTTTATTTTTTTTTTTACTTATTTTTATAGATGCTTATTGGCTAGCTGCCAAAGCATCATTTCTTATTTTTTATTTTATTTTTTTAATTGAAGTACTAATATCATTCAAATTAAATAAACTAAAACTTGAAGCCTAATTGAGAAAAAAAAAAAAAACTATTTTTAAAAAACAAATATATATTTTTTTAAATATTACTAAAATGATAGCTAAAAAATTACTGCCATTTTAATTAAAACTCAAATGAAAACCAAAATAAAATCTAATTTGAAAATCTAAAAATGTAATTCAAAATATTAACAAACTATAAAAGTATATCAATAATGCTAAAATATAGTGTCATAAATATTAGTAATTTACTGTTCTGTAAATGATGATTATTATACTATTTATTATCGCTATAATATTTTTATTGTTATTGTAATATATTTATTGATTTGTTTTTTATAGATTATTATTATTGTATAGTCGTACTGAATGGGGGAATGTTTGTTCTTCGCTGATCACATGCTTGCTTTGTGTGTAAATGCCACTCAAAACCTGCTGCATTAAATGAATCACTTTTCTTCCTCAACAGATTAAACGGCTGATGGGAAGCAGTCAGGAAACTCTGGGGATCACTGAGCGTTTTGTAGCAGGTTCCCTGGCAGGAGTCATTGCCCAGAGCACCATCTACCCCATGGAGGTGAGTTTTACACCATCTTATTTAGTTGCTATTTCAATGAGTAATTCAGACATGGTTTTAACATGTAAGATACAATGTAACAAACCTCTGTAATGCTCTTCTGTCCAGGTTCTCAAAACCCGTCTGGCGCTGAGAAAGACGAGCCAGTACAAGGGCATCTCAGACTGCGCCAAACAGATCCTGAAGGGCGAGGGGATGACTGCGTTCTACAAAGGCTACGTCCCCAACATGCTGGGCATCATCCCGTACGCTGGCATCGACCTGGCCGTCTATGAGGTGAGCAGAGGAACACAAACTAAAGCAATCACTGCTGCTGTCACTCATGAATGGAAAAAGCTCATTTTATTTCCTCTTTTGCTCTTGATAGACATTAAAGAACACTTGGCTTCAGCGCTACGGCAGGGATAACGCATATCCAGGCGTGTTTGTGCTGCTAGCCTGTGGTACGGTTTCCAGTACGTGCGGCCAGCTCGCAAGCTACCCGCTAGCTCTCGTACGAACACGCATGCAGGCGCAAGGTGAGCTTTATGGTTTATAATAGGTGTAAATAATATATATAACCTCTTTTAATAATTATATATTTAATACATTTTATTTATTATTTAATATTTTATTTTTTAAATATATTTTATATAATATACATGTTATTTATATTATTTAATATTACATATTGATACATTTCATGTATGTTTATATATTTAATATACATTTGTGACCCTGGACCACAAAACCAGTCATAAGGGTCCATTTCTAGAAATTGAGATTTATGCATCATCTGAAAGCTGAATAAATAAGCTTTCCATTGATGTATGGTCTGTTAGGATCGGACAATATTTGGCTGAGATACAACTATTTGAAAATCTGGAATCTGAGGGTGCAAAAAAAATC